TATTGTGGCGTTCTCTGGTGCCACTGGCAGGGTGCTCCTGAACGTTGCAGAAAACTTGATGATGGAAGCGACAGAAAAAACAAAAACACTGTGCTTTTTTGTCGTCCCTTTTCCAGAGCCGTACCATCTGATCCTCGAAAGGCGTTCGCGGTTGAGGCCATCATCCTTGAAGCCCTCCCTCACCCTTACCCCTCCCTACCGTAGCTGTTTGGGCTGAAGCACCAGAAGCTGCGAGGGTAGCATTTGGGCATGCCAAGGTGCGACTACTGCAAGACACCCTGTGGTTGGCACTTGTTCCCAGGCTGCGGTGCAGCTTCTCCGTCGTGAGCTGCCTCCCATGCCGGTTCGACCCCGACTGGTTCGCCCCCTGCCTCCCTGCGACTGGGAGCTCGACTGCGCGGTCGACCCAGTGACCGACTGGCTCTCCGACGAGGAGGTCAACAACGGCCTCGGCCCCAGGAGGTACAACTGGGACGAGGGCGGGGAGAGCGAGAAGAGCAGCTTCGCCCAGGACATGGAGCTCGACGGCGACGGGGAGGCCCATGGCCCCCTGGAGGAGCCCGAGGCCGAGCCCGCGCCGGGGGCCTCTGCCAAGAGGCGCTGCTTGCAGTGGTGGCGAAGCCTCGGCAGAGGAGCGTGTGCCGACACTGCGGGCAGTCAGGGCACAACGCGAGGAGCTGCCCTGAGCTCGCCAGGCAGCTGCTCCGGAGTGTGCAGAAGGCCCACTCCCCCGGAGCGGTCGCCCCAGGCACTCCAGGCAGGGGGCCGCGGGCTGAAGGTGGCCGGCATCCGGGCGAAGGCCACTCATCGCAAGGCGCACAGGCCACAGCGCAAGCGGGCGTACGAGGGCAGCCGCGAGGCGATCTACGCAATGATCTCACTGTCGGCACCACTTTCAATTCGGATCTATCTTTTTATCGGCCTCACTGTCTGTCCACCGATCTTGCCAGTCATCGATCCACCTGCTACAATCTGGACAACAATCTAGGCAACCATCTGGACAACCCATCGGGGCAACTGCGGGATAACCACAAGACAACCGCAGGACAACCCCGCTCCCAAAACAGCAAACCGGAGGAGGAGGAGAAGGAGGAGGAGGAGGACTTTGCCGTAGCAACGGTGGGATCACTCCTCTAGCACGCACGCGCAGCTTCGCCTCGCCCGCACGACACGAACACGAAACCGAAATCGATCTATCGGCGGGTAAACTACGTTTTGCTTCGAACTCCCCACCCCCATCTCACCCCCCCAAGCTTCGATGTCACCCCCCACCCCCGCTCAACCCCCTTCACCCCCCCCGAGTTCGATCTGGCCATCTACACATGTAGATGTTCATGTAATGTCTTACCCCACGATTGATAAGTCCTGTCGATCCCAATGTCTATCGAGTAAGGCAACCACCGCACCAGCATGGCGGATGCTAATATAGCATTCAATGAAATCTTGGGTCAATTGGAAGAACCGGTTGTGCCAGGGGGCGCCGCTGGCAGCGGTGACAATCCCAGGCAAAAGGCGCTGCTCCGCAGCTTCCCAGCAGCATCGGACTCTGACTTGAAGCAACTTCAGTACCAGTTCGAAGAGCACAAGAGGTATCATGACAATGTTGTGGGGTCATTACATACACAGTTGCAGAACGTCCGCAATGAGAACTTGCAGATGAAGGCAACCTACGAAGAGCAGCTCCGCATGTTGGGCGTCGGAGGTCCACCTCCAAGCGCACAGCATCACGGCGCACAGGAAGCAGCAGCTGTTCCAGGAGGGGCGGACTCTGTACTTGACGGGTGCGATGGGATATCTAAAAAGATTGACCCGAAAGTAAAAGCAGAGATGGTAAAGATATTGGAAGAGTTTGCAAAACGAGTCAACCAGTTTTTGCGCACCAAAAACCGCACGACCAAACTCATGGAGCAGTCCCAGAAGTTGCAAGCATTTGACATGCCATCTGGTCTACCCCCTTTCCGCTGCAGCTGGACTAACCCCGAGATAGATGAACGCATGAACGAAGAAGCGAAGACTTGAACAATCAGTATCAGCCAAGGATCGACGTGCCCATCTGCCAAAGAACAACTATACATGGGTTATCTTGGGCACATGGCTACACTAGATCACGACTTCAAAGTGAAGCTTCTCGAAAAACTTCGGCCCGAAATTCGTCATGCCGCATTTCTGGAAAAAATGAAAGTACCATTGGAGAAAATGAAGAGTGGTGTGGAAGGACTCGATTTGGATATTCCTCCCGGTATGTTCGAGGCCCAGGCCACGAGCCCATCGCAAACGACATGTACAAGAAGCTCCTCATCAAGATCCAGCAGCAAAGGCAAAAAGAGGAAGATGATAAAAAGAAGCAGGTTGACAAAAAGACGAAGATCGTGGAGGAAGCGTCGAAGCTAAACCCAGAAGAGAGATTTCGGAAAGCCGTGGAAAGCACCCTGGTGGACTTACAGCGCGAGTGTAAAGCCAAAGGTAAAGGCAAAACTGGCAAAGGAAGGGGCAAAGGCAAAGGAAAGGCCAATCACGGCACAGGCTTCGACTATGTGAAATTCTGGAACGAGTGCAATGAAACACAACCAATGCTGGACGAGGACGTCGGCGACATCGCAAAGGAGTGTATTGACGAGAAAACGCTGCAAAAGAAGATCAAAGTCAGGAGATGCACCAAAACAGAGCTGGCCAAAAGAAAATTGCGATCGAAAAGCATGGCCCCCCCTGCTGCTCCGAGGCGGCCGACGACCCCCTGGCGACGACCCAAGACGCCATGGTGTAAGAAGCAGCGGCAGCAGCAGGGGGCCACCATTTGGAAAGCAAAGAGCCCAACGAAGAATGGCAAAGGCCATGGGAGAGGAAAAGGAAAGAGTCCATCCAAAGGCAAAGGCAAAACAGAGACAAGCAACGGCGGCAAGAGTGGCGGCAAGGGCAAACAAGGAAAGATCATGTAACCAAACATCAGATCGAACAAAAGTTTTGGGGTATGCTTGGAAACAGTGAAACTTGGATTCTCAACAAACTTTGGGATTACGATAAACTGTTGGGCCAATGATACTTGTTCGATTTGGACAGACGTTCCGTCGTAACGGCGCGGGCCGCGCAAATCCCTTGGCCGGTCGTACTGTGTCTCACTTGCTTCTCAAGGAAGCATATCTTCTGTGGTGGAAGCGAACCTAGTCAAGAACCCGTCTCTTGTGCTGTGCAAGACTTTGTACATACAGTCAAATGGCGTTGGAAGTTCCAGAGGGACTCTGAACCTGCGATGTGGTGGAGAAAGCATTTGGGTAAGAATAAGGTTACTCCTTATACTGAGGCTGAGCCATAGAGGGCTGGTGGCAAACTCCCACACCAGGTTGCATCTAGTTTGAACGCCATCAAGTTTCAAGTCGCAGACTTGTGCAGCAGAACTATCAAGAGTTGTAGGGGGGACAAGCAGGGGACAAGCAGGTCGTTTTCAAACGTGTATCCTTGGGTCCATGCGGCCATACGTTGGATCAAAACGACGGGGTATGCGATGGCACTAACGGACAAGCATGGAGGACTTTGCCTTGTCCCCGAAAGCTCGCTGCGTGTACTGGCAGACGAAGCGATGGCTAAACAATGCTATTCGGAAGTCAGTTGGGTCAATGAGCAAGGGGTGCACGATGTGCACAGATCAATGATTCGACACGTGGGCGAAGGCTTCGACAAGAAACTGTCGGCCGAACTTTGGAAGCGTGCAGGAAGCGCACGCAACGTCATCAGTACAATTCAATTTACGATCAAAACCCACAAGGAACCAGGGCAAGTTGGGCTAAGGATTATACATTCGTGCAGCGGCCACGCGTTTTCAACATAGCTCGGGTTTATAGCGGTTACCTCAAGAATTTCATTCGTACCGAACACGTCCATATCTATGACTCTACTGACGGAATACTCAAAGCCCTATCACAGATTCGAACCGATGGAAAAAGCATACTGGCCAGCTGCGACATAAAAGATGTTATCTGAACGGAGAGCACGAGCAAATGTGCAAACGTGTGTGCGAGAAAATGTGGCACCCACGCAACATCCATGAAATTATACTGTACGGCATGTTGACTAACCAGTACGTTGGGAACAAACTTTGGCATGATCGATACTGGCGCGTATGTTCGGGCGCTGGCATGGGCCTCCCGTGTTCTGGCGACATTGCCGACGTAAACTTTGCAGAGCTCGTGGAAGTGGATTTGTTGTAGCGAAAGGCAGAATTTGATATAATTTTCTACGGCCGCTACCGCGACGACATTTTGTTCCTCTGCAAAGACAAATATTGTTGGGTCATGGTAATGGCCTTCATCCTCCGTAAATGTGCATGCACGTACAACATTGAAATGAACGAAATGGCATACGACCAAATACCGTACTTGGATGTGATGCTGCACCAAGAGCCGTGCGGCAGAATATCTTGGACACCGTATTTCAAGCCAGGCGAAATTAAAGCACCATTGGCATCAAGCTCAAGCCACAACAAGGCCGTGCACGCAGCGTGGCCTGGAGCCGAGCTGGACCGGCTGCGAAGAAGATCCAGTACTGCACGTAATTTCCGTGAAGCTGTACACCATAAGACGTGTATTTTCCGTGAGTTCGGAATCTCCGAGCCTGCGCCCCCTCGGTATAGCATTTTGCCCCGCTCCCGAAAACGTGAGCCCGAGGATCGCGGTAGCAAAGTGTGGCTTGTTCTCCCTTTCCACCCCTTACTGTCCCGAGCTAGAATTGCTGACCGTATGCATGAGGTTTGGGACCGCTGGGGATGCAACGACAGGAGCAGTTTCCAGAAACGCCTTGAGTTCAAAATGTCGTGGAAAAGCTCACGGCCGAACCTGGCGCAACTGATCAGGCAGTGGCAGCAGATGTTCTAAGATAATGGCTGGTCTCGTTTGGGGTAGGTAGGTGGGAACATCAATTTTTATCCTCGTGCAGGCATGCCTATAACTTCTGGCATGCACAGACGCCGGCGCCGCCGTTGCGACAGATTTGGGGTTTTTGCTTTTGCGCCGAGGCCGCGTGCAGATAATCGCGCTTCTGTGCTTTCGCCCCGTCGGCCGGCACCGCCGTTACGGCAAAATGTCGCTTTAGGGTGTCACCCTATCGTCTCATCGTCTCCGCTGCCATTTCACTCAAGCTGCTCCACCAGTGGGCAGCAGCAGAGAGGCCGCTCACAGGCCGCCAGGGCGGCGCCTGCAGCCTAACGTACGATCCGAAACGGTCGATCAAAACATAATCGAACACTGATTTTGGGAAAAGGCTGCAAGCGCTCGTGGTAGTAGTTCTGCCACGCTCTCTATTGCACTGCGGCGACCGCCGAGCTTGGAAAAAGTAGCAGAGTGGGACTCGCAGTCGGGCGAAGGCCATCCACCGCAAGGCGCACGGGCTACAGCGCAAGCGGGCGCAGGAGGGCAGCCGCCAGGCGATCTACCCAATGATCTGACTGTCGGCACCACTTTCAATTCGGATCTATCTCTTTATCGGCCTCACTGTCTGTCCACCGATCTTGCCAGTCATCGATCCACCTGCTACAATCTGGACAACAATCTAGGCAACCATCTGGACAACCCATCGGGGCAACTGCGGGATAACCACAAGACAACCGCAGGACAACCCCGCTCCCGAAACAGCAAACCGGAGGAGGAGGAGGAGGACTTTGCCGTAGCAACGGTGGGATCACTCCTCTAGCACGCACGCGCAGCTTCGCCTCGCCCGCACGACACGAACACGAAACTGACATCGATCTATCGGCGGGTAAACTAGGTTTTGCTTCGAACTTCCCACCCCCATCTCACCCCCCCGAACCTTCGATCTCACCCACCCACCCCCGCTCAACCCCCTTCACCCCCCCAGTTCGATCTGGCCATCGACACATCTAGATTTTCACGTAATTATCTTACCCCACGATTGAAAAGACCTGTCGATCCCAATGTCTATCGATTAAGGCAACCACCAGGCCAGCAATCGGGATCACCCTCCGATCCACTCATATATATATATATGTATATTTATGCCTATCTCACTATCAATCGGTCCCATTACCTCTCGACACCAATATGAATATACCTACCACTCAAACTACCCACGCATCGAGACAACCCCTGGACTGGGAGAACGCCCAGGAAGCGCGCCCTACCTCTTAAGCTTGAGCAGCGTCGTCGTACGGCGACAAATATGAAGACTCTCAACAAAGACTTGCGACGCACACACAGTCAACCCGAATCATAAGGATGCGCGGTAAGGATGCAAGAGCCTTGGAGGACCACGATGACGTTTCTCGAACGAGGCTGACCAGCGAAAATCGCTAAAGATGGACCGAGGAGGCAAGGATGCAAGGGTACCCGTGGGTAGGTTGCCCATCCTTACTATGCGGGTCGACTGTACACGGCACAACCGCCGACACAAACATCGGGATGACCATCGGGACAACCAACGGGACAACCATCGGGACAACCATCGGGACAATCGTCGGGGTAACCATCGGGACAACCATCGGCACAACCATCGGGACAACCAGGGGCAACGGCCCGTTCACAGGGTGGCTACGTATTTTGGTCGGACGTTGCCCCTACCAGTGCAGGAACTAGCCGCCCAACTTCGCCTCGCCCGCATGCGCGTCACGCACGAACCGAAACGACTTCTGGGTTGGGGCACCTCGCGTATCACCTGGGTCACACCCCCCCAACCTCCGAACTTCTATTGACTATCGAGGCGCTACGCGAATATAGCAGCCCCAGACTAGAGCAACGAACATCTTTAGCTCGGTTGCTCAGGAGCAAGGGACTTGGCGAGGAGCCAAGCAAGCCTCACCTCTGCTTCCCCGTGCAGCACCAGTCAACTCTCCTGCGGGCAGGGGGCTAGGTGGGCGCGCGGGAAGGGGAGAGGCAGGCGGAAAGAATGAGGAAGGAGGTAAAGGAACGGCGGAGAGGTGTGCTTTACTGCGAGGGCCGGAGGGCGAAGGGGACGGGCACGAACAAGGGGGAAAGGAACGGTAGGGGAAAGGGAAGGAGATGAGGATGGACAGTGGGCAGTGGAGGGAACCATAACAGCCCCATGATGTGTGGCCAGAAGTTTCGCCTCGATGCTGCGATTGCTCTGCCGTTGAGATTCTTCCCTCGATCGGATGCAAATGTGTGTGCGTATCTTGCCTCTTGCGCTGAGCAAGCATGCCTCGGAAAAGGATACGGGTAGGGACATGAAAGGGCGCGCGCGGCGGACGGCTACGGGGAAAGGCAGAGATGACAAAACGAAACGGCGCTCATGCTCAAGTTGCATTCGAACGCTTGCGACCTCGCGAAATTGACTGCCCAACAGAGGGGCCTGCCTACGGCACTTCGCAAGATACGTCTGTGCCTCTGTGCCTCCTCGACTCTTGGCCTGGCATGCTGCCCTGCTAGTGTGGCAGGCATTGGTGCGATATGGTGGAGTACGTCGTTCGCCAACTCAATATCTCTGAACGAGCCCTGGGCGCATTACATTAGATGAAACAGTAGTTATGCAATCGTGCACCAAAGCACATCTCATTCCCTCCTCTGAGCTGCCTCATCATCCCAGACATCACGCCTTCCTCGCTCTCTCTCACTCTCTCTCTCTCTCTCTCTCTCTCTCCCCATCCCATTCCCTCCTCTGAGATACCTAATCGTCCCGTCTATCACGCCTTCCCTTCGCTCTCTCTCTCTCTGTCTCTCGCACTCGTGTCCATCTGGCTCTCGGCCCTGTCTCGAACTTCTTCGATACAATCCTCCTCTGTCCCGAGTGCCCAGGAAGCACACATATTGTCCACCTCTATCCTCTTCTCAACCCTCATTCGGTATGTTGGCGACTATTGCGACGCCGCCTTGGACAGTGACCAGCGCAGCCGAGAAGGATCATGAGGACGCAGACTGCGCTGAACTAATCCACTGCATGCTCTGCATCGCTGCCTGCCATCCACAATGAAGACAAACTCTGTGAGCAGACTCATGCGATAAACACATCGGATCGCTGACAACGTTGAGCATGCACATCTGAAATTACGACCACACTCCATGTCCCCGCACATGCACACAACGTAGAGTCATCTTGACCAACCGCTACACCAGCTTACGCAGGCGGCAACGTCGTATGCTGTAGATGAGGAGTCACAAACACCCATAGTAGCTAGCACAACTTGAAACCAACATACAAGTATATACTGAGGTCGTCCGGCCAATGCAACACCACACCGTCCGCATGCACACATGCATGCATAATTGAACATCTTGGCCATACTTTGATACCATATACGCGCAACAGCAATGATAATCCGGCGGCGCCATTGTTGCGCCGTGCATCGAACTCAATGCCACACGCCGCTTGCGAACAATTGTGATCCCATCTGCATCTCGCCCAGCGCATCTCTTCAAGAGAGTGCAGGGGGCGACGAGGGAGAGGGACGCGGACAGCCGAGAACCAACGTATACCACGTGCCTCTTCAAAATCCAACGCCAATCTTCTGGCAACAACATACTCCAGATGTCGTAATAAAGAGAGGGGGGTCTCAATTCGGGGGGGTCTCTTCCAGGCTATCTTGGAGGGCCTGGGGAGGTCTGGGGACGATGTTTGGGAGGGTTCTCTCACGAGGGGAGGTCTGAAGTGGCTTGTCTTGGAGGGCCCAGACCCCCTCCCTTTTTGTTACGAAATCTGGAAGACCCCCTCCCTTTTATATTACGACATCTGGAGTAAACGTACGCCAGGAAGGCACCGCGCCGACGCGCCGGAGTACGACCCCGTCGGAACAGCAGCACCATATCTGCCAGGTGTGCGACGAGGGGAGCCCCAGGATCGACGGTGCTTGCTTGAGGAGGAGGAGGAGGAGGAGGAGGAGGAGGGGGAGGAGGAGGAGGAGGAGGAGGAGGACGAGGAGGAGGAGGAGGAGGAGGAGGAGGACGAGGACGACAACGAGGAGGAGGAGGAGGAATAGAAGGGACAGGTCAATGGAACAACAGCTATGACAGTCCGCCGGTCCTCGGAGCGGGGGTGGTCTAGAGCGTTGCCTCTTCCACTCCCTTCTGCCACCTCGCGGAGGGGTTTACCCCTTCCCCCTGCCCCGCATCGCAGGATCCCCCTCTCGCCGAAGCAAGGCTCCTCGAACGGGAGGGGCACCAAACCCACCAAGTGTGGCCACCGTGCTGGGCTGCCATGCTCCTCTCATTCTTGGCCTGCCTGCCGTGCTCCTCGTGTCGTGGCTGGGCTGCCGTGCTGGGGTGTCGCTGGGGGTCGCTTGGGGGCTTTTGGGGGGCTTCTTGGAAGCCTCTTGGGGGCTCTCGTGGGTCCCTTGCGGGCCAACTGGGGGCCGCTTGGGGGCCTCTCGGGGACTCTTGTAGGCCTCGCGTGGGCCTCTCGGGGGCCGCTGGGGGGCCTCTCGGGTAGCCTCTTGGGGACCCTTGGGCCCAGCTGCGCCCAGGGCGGGCTGCACTGCCAGTCGTGGCCCTGCAGCAGCTCGGGGGCCCCTCGGACACCCCTTGGGGCCGTCCACACAGACAAGCCATGTGGATACAGAGGAAGCCATGCGGATAACAGAGGAAGCCCTGCGCAACAGAGGACGCCTGTAGGGGCAAGACAGAAAGCCATGCGGATAGCAGAGGAAGCCATGCGCAAAGTAGGTAGCCATGCGCAACAGAGGATGGGTGTAGGCACAAAGGTGGAGGGGGGATACAGTGGATCAATTCGCCAAGCAAGGAGCTGGAACTCCTACAGGCAAGCCGATTTGAGAATCTCAGAGACACCCATCACACTTCTTATGTGATAAGTTCGGTGGGGAGACCAAAAGGTACCGATACCGCTGCTCTCCGGACCTCTCCAGGGGTGCTTTCTGACCATGATTTCGAAGCGAATCTAGCGGTGGCGACGAGAGCCTCCGAGGAGGCCGAACAAGGGGAAAACGAGAGAAGGGTAGAGGTATGGGCACCTTGTCCTCATCTGAGTCGAGTGGACCGACAGCCAGTGAGACCCCGAACATCCGCTCAGGTGCCAAAGCCCTTCGTGGGCCTGTCATGCCCTGACGACCCCCTGTCCCGCTCACTCCCCTGGAAGGGCCACGGGCCCCGCGTGGAATACAGTCGGGGCGTTGACCTAAGGAACCCTGAATAAGGCACGAGGCCCCAATTTTCCATAAGTTAAACTTCGATTTCCTGTCGGAGACACAAGGAGAACCTGGGGCAAGCTGTGAAACGCTCAAGGAACGCGGAGCCCCGCCCCAACGAAAAGGGTTCCTTCTTCGGGGCCCCGACTGTATGTCACGACGGCGGCTGCAACCACGCGAGTGGCCCTTCACCTCACGGCCCGCCGCCTCACCAGAGGCCGGCCGAGGACCCGCCCCCCCCCCGGGCGCCCTGGTCGAACTCGTTCGAGAGCAGGCGCTGTGGATCGGGGCGCCGCCACAGCACACCTGCAGGCAGCGGGGAGCGTCATGATCTCGACCCCCTCTTCTCCTCCCCCCCCTCTCCTGCTCCCCATCCAAATTCCCTCCCCCCCAAAGTTCGTCCACTCCCCCTCCAAGTTGCCTCCCCTTGCCCCCCTCCCCTCCACACTTACTCCCCATCCTCTCCTTCCCCTGTCCGCCTCGCCCTGCACTCCTCCTGCCTCGTCGTCGTCGTCCTCCTCCGACTGGTCCTGTTCAGCACCCCGTTCATCGCCCTCCTCATGATTGTTCCCTCCTCCAACCTGCTGGCAGTGGCCCCCACACGTGCGCCTGACGTCGCTTCCCCCCCCTCGTTAGGGTACCTGCTTCGGTGGGGCGTGCTGGCCCCTCGTAGCTTCGCATGAGGCGTCATGGCCCCTCGTCGCTTCGCATGCGGCGTTGTGGTCCCTGCGTCGTGTCCGCCTCCCTTTGCTTTGTCCGTGTCGGCCCCTTTGTTTCAATCCTTATTGCGTTTCTGCTTGCGGCTTCTGGGAGGCCCCAGGCGTGTGCTTGGTCGAAGTGACTGGGTGATGTGATGCTTAGCAGTTGAGACCTGACGGGTCGTGGGTGTAAATGTGGATGTGTGTTCGCAACATCAAACAGACAACTCCAATGCTTCCGATTCGTTGGACTGGGAACCATAATATTTACCGTCGGCCCCACGCTTCTGACTCTTTGGCCTGGATGTCACACTTGTTTCAGGCCATGCGTCCGTCAACGACCCCACCCATCTGGCAGCGAAGTTCCCCTCGAAACTCACAAGTTCCTGGATCGGTGGCCTGACTCTTAGAACCAGACGACGGGTCCCCCCTTATCTTCTTCTCACGAAGCATACGCGGTGACGTGCCCAACCCGGCAAGACCACTTGCCAGGCTCCATGGTGTCATCCCACACGGATGACGATGAGGCAGGAAACGCGACCCTGTCGGAACTACACGGAAGTGGCCTACGCGTTGCACGCCTCACGGCACCGATAGAACCTGGAGGAAGGCACTACGGAAAAACGACGGTCGTCAAGCGAAGGAGTGAGTCTACGTAGTTGGCAACAGCCTGGGAAGACGAGGTCCTGTTTGAGCCCCTGTTGGGCACTCCCCAAAACGTAAGAACACGGCGTCAAATGTCCGGATGGCGGCGGTGCCCATGGACGGGTAAAATGCCGTGGTTCTGACAAAGACCGCATTCCGCTGGACCCCCCCCGGTTCATGGAAATTGCGGCACTTGCGCAGTTGGCGCCACCCAGGGACAGGAGGAACAGTTTGAGCTTGTGTGAAGCATCGCTCTGCTGGGTCTCCCACAATCTCGGGGCAATGTCGGCAAGTGCGCAATTGCCAGCCCCCACGGAAGCGATGTCTAGGCTAGATCTTCATGGCGCCGATCTTCGCTGACCCTCCCAAACGCGAACGAACGTGGCGTCCATATTTGGCATTTGGCAGCCCCCCAGGGAGAGCGAGGTATAAATGTGGACCCGATTTAGGAGATCCCTCCGCACTGGGCAGCCCCCAATGAGGGCGAGGTGTAGTTTGGGTCCGCGTGAGACGCCACCCCGCTGCATATTCCAGGAACCGAGGAAACTTGAAACACCTGCGAAGTTGGCATCCTTCCAGAGGTGGGGGAGGCACGGTCTAGTCTCACCAAATGAGCGTGTTTTATTCGGCGTTTCGACGTTGGGCGGAAGGGGGAAGGAGGGGGGGATCTGGCTCCGAACCTCTGCTTAATGCGACTGTTTGCAGCAGTGGGTCCATGACGGGAGTCTCCACCTGCTCGAAACAGTCGTCAAACACAGCAAAGATCTACTCCAAAAGGGCGGGGAGGGGGGAGTGCGAGGGCCCACGCCGATCGGCAAAACCATGAAAAAGAAAACGACAACCAACCATCTGGGCGGAGATGACATACTGAATGCCGTGCCCCCCTCTTCCGAATCCCCTTCTTTTCCTGCTCGGGGGAGGGGTTCACCCGCCCCCCTGCACCCTGCCCTGGGTCTGGGCGGGGAGGGGGTCGCGACCGATTGGAGGGTCCAAAGTTGCAGTAGGACAACGCCAGATCTACCTTGCAATACAATCATCGGCCTGACCTAAGCAAACGATACATAAGGAACGAAGCCCCTCTTCCCCAAGAAATAACGCATACAGAACGATACATACTCCAAACCAACATAAGGGTCAATAAAATAACGCATGCAAACCTACAGAAAGACCGAGCCCCTATTGAAACGTGTTCCTGATTAAAGCCGCTCAATGTACGGTACCCGAGATGGCTCAATATTTCCAACATTCCCCAATCTGCCCCAACACGTGATGTGCATTATCGTTTTTCGCGTCCGATGGGCCTCGGATGCCGCAAAACGATTGTGGCGACACTCGCGCAACTAGGACGCCCCAAAGGAAGACGAAATCTAGTCCTGCCCCCCGAAGGCTCACCCAGCGAAATCCCCCCCCAAGAGCTCACGCAAATGACAACACGTGCGCACGCGCGCGCCCCCAAGGAAAGCGAGATTCAGTTCTGGATCCACGTAAGACGTCGCTCCGCTGCACATCCCAGGAGCTGATGAAACTTGAAGCAACTGGCAACCCCCAAGGAGGACAAGGTCTGGTTTGAGTCCGCGTAGGACGCCACGTCGCTGCACCTCCCAAGAGACTACAACACTTGCAACCATTGCGTAACTGGCAACCCTACAATGGGTCCGCGTAGGATGTCGCTCCGCTGGAACCCGCAGGAACTCGCGACTGTGGCAACACTTGCGCAGCTGGCCACCCGCAAGAAGGCGAGGTTGGATGCAAGGTCGGGCACAAATAATGCGCACAAAAGGGTGCGGGGTAGGAAGCAGGAGCATAAGGCAGGAGGAGGGATACAATGTTGATGCGGCAACAGTGCTCCAGTCAACACGAGAGACCACCGCGTCGGAGGGCTGAGAGCAGGCACGCCACTCATGCATCATTGCGTTCGTGCATTGTTGTATGGGCACATCCGCCGATCGATGCTACCTCCAGGCTCGACCTGGAGGACAGCGTCTCAATTCATCACTGCCCTGTCTTCAACGATACACACATTGACGCAATAATCAACGCGCATGATGCAATGTGTGATCTTATCCGAATCACACAAGCATGCTCCACACTAGGTATCTCCACACTAGGTATCTCCACACACACAATGATCCGCACGCCTGAACGTAAACGTCGTGTGGGATTTCGAATTACGAAGTCCCACGTGTCGAGAATTTCCAGCCCGAGAAAGAGACTTCACATGCACTTCATCATGTGTAAAAAGAGACATCAAATTCATTCGTGGGCCCGCCCCAAAAAAGGACGTCAAGGCTCGTGCCATAACCATCTCACAATAATTGTGAGTGTGTACTTACGTATCTCCCTTTCAAGAAGAACAATTTGTCTAATCGGTCTCTGAAACTGTCCTTCCCGCTGAATTGCCACGCGTTGATCTGAAATGCCACCTGTACGGAATCATGCTCCGTGACAACAAGACATTCATACGAACTCCATGCGTACCCCCTCAAAAGGGGAAACACACAAATCGAACACGAAAGCAGCCGCGGACACTCCAGCCCACATGTTGCAGAATAGCCCACATGTGCCCACACGTGCATACGTGCTGCGGTATGCACGTGTGGGCACATCACATGCATACGCGCCACGCCCAATGGAACACCTCCCAGTCATCACGCCCAACATTCAGCAGCCCCTGAAACCCACGTTCGCGGGTTCCCTCCGGGCATTTTTTGTCCACCCCGTGGCCGACCTCGCGTACGCCTTACGTCCCCTGGCTCCTGACCGTCCTGTTCGTTAGGCCGCCCACACTCCCTTCTCTTGCCCCATCACTAACTTCCGTCTCGCCCGTCTCACTACGCCTAGGCCCCTGAATCTCGCAGACTTGACGACCCCCACCCAGTTTGCCCGCCCTGCTTCGCACCTCTAAATCACTACACCAGGTTTGACCTGGCTCCTCGCTCTCGTGGTCGTAAGGACCCCGCCACCCAAACTACTCTAGCCCACCTCGCCCACACCAAACCAGGCACCTCCTGGCCCTCGACTATCGTCTACTCAACGCCCCCCCCCCCCCCCCCCCCAACCCTCTTTTCGCACCCCGAGGTCCTCATGGCAGTCACTGCGTTCGATCTCTGACATCCCCTAGCCTTGGACTCTCGTGTGTTTGCTCCTCACACGTTCCTCTTTGGTCCTCTCGTGTGTTTGCTCCTCCCTGTGGCCCACCCCGCCAACGAACGCGTGTGCAAGAAACGAAACATAGGTATTTGCAACAGGGCGGACAACACGCTGATAACCGGAAGAACCTCATTGAATAGATTGAAGATCTGCCGCAAACAACTTCCGCACTGAAGACACTCGCGCGAAGCACCTCACCCGTGTGGCCCCCGTTGAATGAAAAGGGCATCAGCGGCGCCAACACATACACGCCGAGACTCAGATTCCCTGGGGGGCTTGTCGCGTGGTGTCCCTTTGAAGCCTCGGACGCGTGGTTGGGGATGCACGCTGCCATCATGCCGTAAGGTTGCCCCAGAGGCCCGTGCTGGGGCCCTCTGCGGGGGTCTCTAGGGCCGTCGTGGGGAGGCCCTCGGCGTCGGCCCAAGAGGCCACAGTCACAGGGCTCGACCTAAACAATGTTTGGTGTTTTCGTGTTGTGTTTTCGTGCTCCCCCGTTGGTCTTGTAGTCACCTTGGCTGCAAAACGACACAGAAACGGACATGTCCCACGAAACCGCCAAGAACACCGTTTAGGTCGACCCGTGCACACTCATCGTGAAACACATGCTCGTGCGATCCTCGTCGCCAATGGTTTCGCACCACACGGCCCACGACGCCCCCCGAGAAACATCCGAACACGGACCCAAGACGGTGGCCAAACGCAAGCACTCGGACTGACATTTGGAGTCCTCCGCCATACGACGTCCCACAAGAAACGCGACGGATCCCCAGAAGCTCCCAAGAACTGGAGACACCAAGGACGCCGCAGAGAAGCCTACAAGAGGCCGCCGAGAAGCCTCCTAAATGAACCCACTATGCTTCTGGTTTCCGACGCATGCACGGTCTCGGCATGGGCTTGGATCCAGCTAATCTAAATCTAACATATACGTCTCAGGCAGTTCGCACGCGAGCCATGAGTTCAGGCCGTCTCTTGCGATGTTCAACATGTCCACCACTTGCTTCAAAGCCATGTACACCCCTTTGCCACGACAGCCAACTCTTGCATACATTTCTGGCTCATCCAGGGTCGAGCACTTGCGCCATGTTGATGGCTACCTTGCTTCAGGAGGTTCAATAAACGCGCCCTGCTGGAATACGTGGGAATCGTATGAATCCCTCTGAGTCAGATTGCCATACCTCGCGACCGACAACAACACACCGCACCAATGATCGCATAGAAACGTCCTGCAATCCCAGCGGGGTCGCATAGAGAAATTAGCTGGGATATTACCTCGATGTTGAGCCAGGCACTCGCTTCATTAGCAGGAAGTTGAACTCATACTAGCTATTATCATGCACGCCATCTGCAATCGAGGCCAACTGTAAGGATAGACTTACGAATGTGAGCCCTGGCAGCCTGGCGAGGATAATGTCGCCGTCCCTGCCCAAAAGAGCATGTTCGACTCTTGCCCGCGCCCAAATCGCGGCCACTGCACGTGAGGGAAATACTTCGACCCTGCGGATCTATGCCATGCCTGTCATGATTCATCCTGCCCGCATGAGGAGGAGGCGGATGAGGAGGGAGGGAGGGAGGGGGGGAGGGAGGGAGGGAGAGGGAGAGGGAGAGGGAGAGAGAGAGGAGGAGGAGGAGGAGGAGGAGGAGGAGAAGGATGATTCATCTATGCCATGCCTGTCATGGTTCCCAACGCAACGCAGGGCGCCTGAGCGTGCAAGCACCGCCAGACTGAACAGCGCGCACACGGCCGCCAGCAGCCAGCGACTGTCCGGTGCGGGTCGCGCCTTGGGCCGGGAAGTTGCTGAGCTCCAAATTTGCGGCTTAAGCAAACTCAGAATTCACCGCCTCTGCTCAGTCTGCGCCTGCCTCCTATTACCCATCGGATCTGCTACCAACCCTGGGACCTCCCACGACAGCCCGTGTTTGACCGGGTTAGTCCCATGAGCAAGTGTGAAGCATGCTGTGGCAGAAGCCGAAAGAGTGCAGACGTCCACACGTAGCCCAACGACGACCCACGTTCCACGACACCGACTGCGAGCCCAGAACCATGCACGCCAGTGTTACTTCTGCTGCTGCCCTTGCTGTTGGTCACATGCCCCCCTCGTCACTAGAATAGTCGGCCTCTGGCCAAAACATCACTCCACAAATCGTGCTTGCACTTCGGGGTGCTTACTTCTTCGACCGAGGAATAAAACGGGGCTCGCCGAGCTTCCGCCGCGTCGCAGCACGTGGCGGCCCTTGTTGCCACCAACTCGGGGGCCTGCCGAAGTTCCGCCGCGGCGCCGCCCGAGGCCTCCTGGGTGGCCGCCTCGTGGCCGCCCGCTCGGGGGGTCCGCTGGGGTTTCGCGACGTCGCCGCCCGTGACCGCCTCGACGCCAACGGCTGCCTCGTGACCGCTTCGTTGACGCCCACTTGGGGGTGTCGCTGCGGCTTCGCCGCGTCAAGCATAAGCGAGTTGCCTTGGTGAGGGAAGCGTAGCAACAAATGTCGACATAGGCTTAATCTTTAACCAGAGTAAGCCGCTTAGGCGTAGGAATTTCTCGCTTTGCCCAGAACCAATGTCCGCGTGCGCTGGCAGTCCCTTTTTCTCGCGTAAGCCGAACGCAACACTCATTGCTCACACCGCCATCCGATCGAGCTTGCTCCGAAGCCATGGCGGTGGCGACGACGGTGGCGGCCTCAGCGAAGAGAACAATACACACACTTTACCTCCATCGGCCAACTGGCGGCACACTCACGAGCGGTAAGCCGGGACAAGCCTAGGCCCAGGCGCATTTCCACCTGGCGAAGCAGAAGGGTGGTCTGGATGGGGGGCAGACGGTTTCAGAACATGTCAGCCAGCGCAAACTCCAAATAGTTCAGGAGGCTGAACTGACATGGACTGGAGTGGACTGGACCGGAGTAGACTCGGCTCGATTGGGGCGTGGCTTCGACTCCACTCTACTCTGCTCTGTTCTACCCGGCTCTGCCCCATTCTACCTGACCCTACTCTCTACTCCATTATACCCGACTCTACTCTACTCTACTCCACTCCACTCCACTCTGCTCTGTTCTACCCGACCCTACTCTTACCGTGAACCGAGTCCGTCGAGGGTTCGCCGCTCCGCCGCTCGCGGGCGCCTCCTCGCCGCCCGTCTCCGGGGGGGGGGGCGGGTCTGCCGAAGTTCCCGCCGCGCCGCCGCCCCGCGGCCGCCCACTATTGGGACTGTCCGCCGACGGCTCGCCGCGTCGCCGCCCGAGGCCGCCTCGTGGCCTCCCGGATGCCACCCCCTCTGGCGCTCTTTCGCCGTCGCTCGGACGTCCATTCCCTGCGTTTTTGTATCGGTTTCGTGCGTGGTTTTTTCGCGAAAGGATCAAGGATGCTCCTCGATGGTCCTCGCCGAAGGAAAAATGCACACGTCCGAGCGATGCCAAGCCACTCTGGCGCTCTGGCGGGGTCCGCCGAGGCGCCGCTGCGTCGCTGCCCGCGCCTTCCGCCTGCACCGCCTCCGTTCTGCTTCCGAAAAGGAAAGATAGGCTCCCCCGCGTTCCCCCCCTGGGCTTCGCGCGCCCCCCGCTGACGCTGCGATTCACACACGGTTTCACCCCATCGCTCATGCTCCAGTTGGGTCCCACAGGCCCTCTGGGCGTGGGTGGTCTGACGATGCCTGCCTTTCCTCTTCCAAAACCGTTTCTTTCCTTCAGGGAAGGGTACCCTCCTACTCCCGTCCCTCTCTGGTATTTGTTGGGTGTTCGCGAGGGGTCAAGAGGTCCTTGTTCCCGTCGAGGGCTACGAGGGTGTTCCAAGTGCTCTCGGAGCCCTTCAGGACCCACCCCCAAGAGGCCAACATCCTCCAAACACATAGCGGAAATCATCCCACCAGCCCTTAGAGCGACAGGTGGTCTAAGGAGGGTCTCCTTCCTCTTCCACAACCCTTCTTCCCTTCGGGGAGGGGGACCCTCCCCCTCCCCTCCCTGAATTGTTGTTTGGAGGGGGTCGCGACGAGTTAGGGCGTTCTTTTCGGCCCCTGGGCGGGCCAATTTCTGAAACCCCTCACGAGGATCGTGCCCCCCCCCCCCCCCCGGGGGGGACGAGCATAAGGGAACCCACTCGTTTGATCGACCGCCTCCAAGATGGCCCCGAGAGTTCCTCCAGGGTTCCAGAAAGGCCCCAAAAAGCGCCCCGAGAAGCCCCAAGAGGCCTCCAAGAGGCACCCGAAACGCCCCCAGGAGGCCGCGGGGCGGCCTCAGAGAGCCCAGGATGACACCCAAGATGGCTCAGATAGCCCAAGCTGGCTCAAGATGGCTCCCAAGATGCTCCAAACGGCCCCACGACCGCTCCAAGGCGGCTCGAGATGGCCACGGCGCCTCCCAAGCCTCCCTCGCTGCTTGACTATGCGTGTATTTTCCTCTCTCCCCCCGTCAGCTCTCACGGGCATCGTTACTGGATGTGCTGGTGGGGATACTTGTGTTCGTCGCAGCCGCAGGCGAAGGTGCACAGCGGCGTCACAAGTCAGCTCGGGCTACGAGCAAAACTAATTAACCTAGCGCGCTGGTGGGGATACCTTCTAGTCAGCGGCCGCCGGCGAGCGCGCCAGCGGCGAGTCCAGTCAAAGCGGGGCACGCAGCGACAAATTCACCTAAAGCAACGGGGCGCAGCCTCACCTAAAGCGGCTAGGCGGAGCTTCACGCAGCACCTCAGCGGCGGACCGGCGAGTGGAGGGGGCTGGCTGAAACTGAGTCGTACTGCCAGCGTGCAAATATGCAAGGCGAGCCGGTGGGGATACTTTTTGATTTGCGGCCCGCAAGTAAAAGTCCAGAGGGCGGTGTGAACGAGGCTGGGGCACAGCGCGCGATAATTAGCGCGAGAACGCGCGGAATGCACATGCAAGACGATTAGGCGGGCTGGTGGGGATACTTCATTTTTTTACCGCCGCAGGCGGAAGCGCCAGCGGCAGGCGGTCACGGTCGGGCTGCGGCCGCGACAAGGGGGCGGGCGCGCGCGGGACTGGTGGGGATACGCGATACGTCAAGAATTGATGTGTGTCTTCTCGGCTTGCCGCTTCCGATGGACTGTCGAAGCTTCAAGGTTGCCCCAAGGTGGCCCGAGAGGCCCCCCAAACGGCCCCCAAAAGCGCCCCAAGATCGGCCCACGAGCGCCCCACGGCGCGGCGTTGACGGCCCCAGGGGGGGGGGAGGAACACCGAGGAGCACCCCTCCTTTTTCGATCAATGGCCTTCACGATGGCCCCACGAGGCTCTCCAAGAATCCCACGAAGGCCCCACTACAGCCCGAAGAGCGCCCTAAGAGCGCCCCAAGAACGACCCACGAGGGCCCCAAAAGGCGGTTTGCCTCGTTTTACGTTAGGCCGACCTACGGTTTCCCTGCGGCGTTCTAAGTCGGGTTGCCCCAAGCGGCCTGCTGGACGGCCCAAGAGGGCCCCGAGACGCCCAAAGATCGGCCCAAGACGACCAATATTGCCCAAGAGGCCTCCAAGAGGCCCCAAGAGGCCTCCAAGAGGCCTTCCAAGAGTGCCTCAAGAAACAAATACGATTGATGTTCCGCAATTCGGTTTTGAAGGCTTTTGGCGTTCTCGCCTTTTCAACTTTCCGACGCTCCAAAACGACCCAAAGGGCCCCCCCAAACCAACTCAAAACCGCCCACGAGGCCCCCAAATGGGCCCCAAGACGGCCCAAGAGGGCCGCCCAAGAGGCGTCCAAGACGAACCAAGAGGATCCCCAGACGGGGCACCAAAGGGGCGTGAGAGGGAACGCGAACCGACAATCAGAGCCATCCGCCCGAAGCGGCCCACAGGAGGCCCCAAGAGGCGCCCAGGAGGCCCCCGAGAGACCTCAAGGGGCCCCCGAGAGGCCCCGAAGGTGCCCCAGGAGGTTCCCAGACGGCCCCAAGAGGCACCCCAACTGCCTCCAAGGGGCCCCCGAGAGGCCTCTCACGAGATCCCCGTGGACATCCAACCGTCCTCAGACCCACGGCCCGGGCACGGTGGCGGGATGGGCCGCAGGCGGGCGACGCGCACGCGCCGAGTCGCGCGCGTGCCGAAGTCCTTGGAAGACCGTGGACGTTCGAAGCGCGTCGACGCGAATCGACGCTAAAGTGACGCTAGCCGACGCTCAGTCGGCGCTATCTGAATGACTCCCCGACGCTAATCGACGCCAGTGGACGCTGAAGACGTAATGACAAATGGAATGCCAGGCTTCCATGATTTGCTAACGAACCCTGCAAAGGTTCTTGCACTTCCGCGAGCGCGCACCTCTCACCAGCGCCACCGCACCATCGCCGTTATCAATCATTATCGCCAGTCGCCGTCATTGCCGCCACCATCAGTCGACCATCTGCATCACAATCACATAGACATCATAAACGTCATCGTCGTCACCCGCATCGGCGCCCCCTTGGCCTTGCAGTCAAAATCGTCATCACCGCCACCACCACCACCACAACTATCATCATCGTACTAACCGTTGCCGACGTCATTATGATACCGCGCCGGCCCGAGAAACCGACCCGCAGTGAAGTGCCCGCGCGACAGCGCGGCCTTTGAGACGCACTGGTACGTCCCCATCGGTAAGCGCCATCTTGGCCGCGTCAGTTGTGCCGAACCAGCTGGCCGCTCTGCGCTCGAGCGTGCAGGTGCTAGCGCGGCCGCAAAGATGCGCCAGACAGTGGCAAACAGTCACCACAATCACGGCCGCGGGGGTTGTGCAAAGCAAGGCGGGTGGGTGGGATCATTGTGCGAGCAGTGGAGTTGACGACTTCGAATTCTGCAAGGTGGACTGCATCATGTAACTTACACCACATAGCTTGCACATCCACCATGCAATCACTTCCTGTTCAGGGGTCCACACTGGCTAGCATGAATCTGAAAATATCGACGCCTCCTCCGGGGGGGCATATTTTACCTCCGCCGGCTTCGGCCGAGCTTCTGCGGCACTTCCGCCAGCCTCCGCCAATCCCGTTCAAGAGAGCGTCCCATGCAAGCGTTCCATTCAAGAGTGTCCCAGGTCAGGCAATTGTTTGAGCGTCCCACTTAAGCTTCAAAAGGCAATGTGTTCCTGCTCCGCGTGGCAAGCAACTGAGAGAGCTGATCGCTCCCACTGGACGCGGGGCAAATGTGCCAATTAAGCGACGGCCAATGCCCCACAAAACGCCGCCGAAGAAGAACAATCGATGGCATCCCACCGAGGGGGACCGGCATCGACGTGCAAGGGGCAAGAGGCAACGTTCGGGGGCGAAAAGCTCAAGTAGGGACGCGCCGACCCCCGATCGCCCTTTGATCACCGAAAGCCTGCCCCGCCCAGGAACGTCCGGATTCGCTCTCCAGGTCCTATCGCGGGTCCATCGGCGATGTATCGCCGATTCCAGGTCGACGCTTCCCCCCCCTCAGCCTATTTCAGTCAGCGGCGAGGGGGGGAAGTGAGAAGGAGAAGGCCTTCTCGGAAGTCCCCTGGCCTTCCGAGAAGCTTTCCAAGCCTTCCCCGAAGACACAGAAACTCATCAGAAGGCGCGAGGGCTTCCAAGAAGTCCCGCCGCCTTCTGAGAAGGCCTTCTCCTTCTCAATCTCCTCCCCTCGCTCGCCGCCGATATCCCCCCTCCCTCAGCCTGTTCTACCCCCCCCTTCCGACGTTGCCTCCTCGGGTGGGAGGCCACCGCCCATGGTGAGGAGGAGGGGGAGGAGGGGAGGGAGAGGGGGAGGAGGAGGAGGAGGAGGAGGAGGAGGAGGGGAGGGGGAGGGGGAGGGGGAGGAGGAGGAGGAGGAGGAGGAGGAGGAGGAGGAGGAGGAGGAGGAGGAAGGAGGAGGAAGAGGAGGAGGAGGATGAGGAAGAGGAGGAGGAGAAGGAGGAGGAGGAGGAGGAGGAGGAGGAGCGTCGTGCTCTCCATCGCAAAACCATCGAAACCCGAGAAACCCAGGGCACCCTGGAGGCAAGCATGGTGTTTCTTGGCATGGGCCTCCACTGTACAGCCAACCAGCATGAGAAGGACGCACGATACGGATGCAAGGGCCTTGGAGGGCCCTGTCGACGTTCTGCGGGTGGGGCGCGGCCGGCGAAAGCGGCCAAGGATGGGCCGAAGGGGAAGGATGCAAGGGTGGCCCTGGAAAAACGGTCATCCTCACTACGCGGGCTGACTGCAAGACGACACCATGACAACATCCGACTGGGATCAGTCGGGAATGTCTAAAATCTGGCGGTCCTGGAGCCTGCGCCCGTCGGGCGCCGAGGCCGCTCCGAAGCGCTCCGGCGCGCTCTGGGAGCGTGGCCGGACACTCTGCAACGATCTACAGTCGGACTTGGTTGGACAGGACACGCGAGAGGACACAAGTCACAAGACCCTTCCGAGGGCCACACTGCCACAGGAATGTAGGAGGCATGGGTCGCGAGACGCGGGGCACAAGGGCCCCCCTGATTTGGCAGGGTCGACCTACGAATCCGGGCCGACTGTCTCCCGGCCCTGGCCCCGCCCGCTTCGGCCAGACGCAAGAGTGGCCCCTGGGCAAAGGTGACCTTTGGTGCGCGGTCCTGCGGGGGCGGAGGGAGGAGGAGGAGGAGGAGGAGGAGGAGGAGGAGGAGGAGGAGGAGGAGGAGGAGGAGGAGGAGGAGGAGGAGGAGGAGGAGGAGGAGGAGGAGGAGGAGGAGGAGGAAGAGGAAGAGGAGGAGGAGGGAGGAGAGAGAGGAGGTGGTGATGGTGGTGGTGGCTTGGGTAAGCATCTGGTGGGGCCGCGGGCACAGCCCTTTTAGCGGCACCTCCCGCCCAGGGATGGCTGGGGGACAGCTCACCACCCGTCGCGGGGGCCTAGTACCGCAGCGTCAGTGCCCCTCGGTCCGAGAGACCACCGGGGGGAGGATTCCCCTTGGGAGAACCGCCTGTTCCCAACACGACCCCAGGACGGCCAATAATACCTATCTCCCGTACCTGGGGGTGGGAACCTCAGAACAGGAGAGAGCTACGGCTGCGGCCCCGACCTGGGACGGGGGGAACAAAGCGATCCCTCCAGGGGGGACCCGGTGGCCTTCCGTACCGGGAAGTCAACGAGAAACGCGGAGGGGGGATGAGCAGCGTGAGAGCGCCCGCTCACCTCCGCTGGGGCCCCGCCCGTCCGAGCCAACCCCGGGGCCACCGCAGGGCGCAGCTGCGAGGCGTTCGGAGAAGACCCGAGGAGGCCCTCCCCGGAGTGCGGCACCCCCGCCCCCACCCCAGCTCGGCTGCGGGACTCGGCCCTGCCTGCGGGGAGGGACGGGGGGGGGAGAGAGAGAGGTGCCCACCCCCACTTCCCACCCCCCTCTCCCTCCACCCCCCGGGAGGCCCCGGGCCGACGCCGAGGCAGGGGGGGCCAGGTTTTCGAAGCAGATCCCGCGCGGCGACAGGAGCCAGCCACAAGGAGCAGACCCCCAGCCCCGGGCACCCCAGCAGGACCCGGGGCACTCCGGGACATCACCACACTCCGGTCCCGAGGCACCCAGGCGGCGGAAGGAGGGGGCCTCTGCGGTGCGAAGCCGAGAGGAAAAGGAGGAAAAGGAGGAGGAGGGGGAGGAGACGGGTGAGGAGGAGGTGAAGGAAGAGGTGGAGGAGGAAAAGGAGGGAGGAGGAGGAGGAGGGAAGAGGGAGGAGGAGGAGGAGGGGGCCAGGCCCAGGCGCGCAGGCCGTGGCTGCCGCGCCGCGCTCGGCGACCGTGGGGGGGCCCCGACGCGCCCGCACCCCGCAGAGGCCAATCCCGCGGAGGGTCACCCTCCTCCTCCCTCCTCCCCCCTCCCTCCTCCCCCTCCTCCTCCTCCCCCTCCTCCTCCCCCTCCTCCTCTTCCCTTGGCGACCCAGGAATCTTACGGACGCTCGGACGGCCGCGGACGACGCCTCCGCCAGCGCCGGGGCCCCCCGTCCCCGCGCCCCTGCCGTGGCGCGCCTCGCGCGCTGGGGAGGCGGCGCGAGACTTACAATCGGCCTTAACTAGGCAGGGCACGCCTCAAGTTTTGAAAGAATCGCCGCAGGGCCTGGTCTTAGAAATAAGGTGGAAGTTTTCTTTGGACGAATCGAACGAAACCCCATTTGCAGCTCCCCGCTCGTGCAGGCTGTCGCCACGGAGAGCATGCATTGTATCTTCCTCCGGAACGACTGATTCAAACTTTTCAAGCTCACTGGAATCACCCTGTCCCCCCCACGGGGGGATCCTGGGCGAAAAATAATACATACTCAAACATACCCCAAAAAGATACCCCCCTAACATACTCAACAAAAACGTATTCCCCTGCCTACGTTCTTGACTACTTTTGCTTGCCTCCCCCTGTCGAGGGACAGGCCCGACTTAAGCGTCGTCGACCCGTGGGCGCCCACGCCCACCCGTTAGGCGTCCACCCCCCCGGGCAGGCCCGGTGCTCGTCCAGCCAGTTGAAGGAGCCGACCTCGTTGCAGTTCTGGCAGGCCACCGTGGTGCTGCCGCCCTGGGCCGCCAGGGCGGGGGGGGGCGAGCGCTGCCGGGGGCGCGGCGGCCAGCGCAGGGTGGCTCGGACGCCGACCTGGGCGGGGCCCAGACCCTACCACGACGCCGCCCGTGCTATCGACGCCTGCCACCGTTGCCACTGCCCTTCCCGCCTATCGTCCTCTGGACTTTCCTTTGTGCTCGTCGTACCAGCTCCCTCCTGAACATCCATCTCCTCGTAACCGTGTAGCAGCCACACCGGGAGCACTGCTTGTGGCTCCTCGATGTCCCAGTGGGCCCCCCCTGTCCACGGGGGGCTGCTCGAACTGGCCACGCCCCCCATTTGTCTAAGGGGGAAGGGCGGGGTAGGGGGTCGAACGCCCCAACCCCCCCCTAGAGTTGCAAGGGGGGGAGGGGCGTTCGAACGGGGGGGGGGACAGCGCCAGCGCCGTTGGGCAGCGACGACGAATGGGATGGGCGCGGGGGTTGCTAAGGGCTAAAAGGATACGGGGATTATCAGTGGACGCCAAAGGGACGTACCTGGCCAAACCTAGCTTATAAATGGGTTACACACGCCCCAAAAGGCTCATGGGGGATTGAACAACTCCGCTAAGTGGACGGAGACCACTTAGCCTGGATCGCTATCCCCCCAAGCCACCAGGGGCATTAGCACTCAGCTAATGAGCTATGTTTGGCCAGATATCACCCACCTTGGCCTCCACGGCCAACCCCCTATCCACGTAACAACCCCCGCGCCCATCCCACGATGGCCACCCCAAACCGACGACGGCGAGCGCCGGCGCCGGCGCCGCCGGGCAGCGACGGCGACGACGACGACAACAACGACGACGACGGCGACGGACACGGACACGGCGGTGGCGACGACCACGACGACGGCGACGACGACGACGACCACGACGACGGCGACGGCGACGGCGACAGCGGCGGCGGCGGCAGCGATGACGAACGTCGTCCACAGCCCCCCCAACTTGAGTTGCAAGGGGAAAGGTAAACTCGATGGGAGGGGCGCCCGCAAACGTCAGCGCGTGCCGACGGGCAACGACGACGACGACGACGACGACGGCGACGGCGACGGCGACGGCGACAGCAACGGCGACGGCGGTGTCGACGGGGACGGCGACGGCGACGGCGACGCCGGGGACGGCAGCGGCGGTGGCGACGACGACGACGGCGACGGCATCGGCGGCGACGGCGACGGCAACGGTGACGGCGACGACGACGACGCGCAAAAGGGTGGGCGGGTCCGAACAGGGGGGGCCTACCCCTTGCAACCGACGACGCCAACCGCCGGCGCCGGCGCCGTCGGGCAACGACGATGTAGACGCCTGAATGATTCAGGATACGTGCGGTCAGGGGTACTTGTAACTTTAACCCCCGAATCGCGAATCTGCGGTTACCCCTGACCACCCCCAGCCCTGACGTAGTTCTGAACGACGACGACGACGACGGCGACGTCGACACCGACGGCGACGACGACGATGGCGACGACGGCGACGGCGACGGCGAAGGGGGCGGCGACGGCGACGGCGACGGCGACGGCGAGGGCGAGGGTGACGGCGACGGCGACGAAGACGACGAACGAGGACGAGGACGGGGACGAAGACGAGGATAACGACGACGACGACAACAACGACAGTAGTGACGACGACGACGCTCACGGGGCCCCGCCACATCAAGTGCAAAGGGTGGCTCGAAAAGGTGAGGGGCCAGTCCCTCCTGCAACCGGCGACGGTGAGCATTGGCGCGCGCACAGATGGGCAGTGACGACGACGACGAAAACGACGATTACGAAGACGACGACGACGACGGCGACGGCGACGGCGACGGCGACGGCGGCGACGGCGACGGCGGCGTCGGCGTCGACGGCGACGACGACGGACGTGGCACCAACGACGGCGACGGCGACAAGAAATGCGACGGCGATGGCGACGGCGACGGCAACGGCGACTCGCGAAGACGACGGCGACGGAGGCGACGGCAACAACGACGACGTGGCCGACGACGACGGCGACGGCGACGGCGGCGACGGCGACAGCGGCGGCGACTGCGACGGCGACCGCGACGGCGACGGCGACGACGACGCCGGCGACGGCGACGGGCGATGGCGGCGGCGGCGGCAACGGCAACGGCGACGGCGACGACGTCGACGGCGACCAAACTGTCGACGACGACTCGCACAGTAGGGGGGGAGGTGGGCCCGCGCAAACCCCAAATTTTGCAACTCGGGAGAGGAGGGCCCCTCTCTTTCCCAACCATCCTGTGGTGTTGGGTCCTCGTTTTGAAGAGACGGTGCCCCGCGTCTCCTCTCCTTCCTCCCTCTCCCACCTCCCTCCTCCTCCGCCTCCTCCCCCCTCCCTCCTCCCTCCTCCCACTATCACGGCACACCCCTCACACGTTTCGTGGCCCCATAGGGAGCTCCACCGAGGGCCCCAGTGGCTGCGTTGGCATGGCGGCGCCGCACCCATTTCGGCACACCCCTCACACGCTTCGTGGCCCCATAGGGAGCTCCATCGAAGGCCCCACTGGCTGCGTTCGCATGGCGGCACCGCACCCATTTCGGCACACCCCTCAGACGTTTCGTGGCCCCGTAGGGAGCTCCACCGAATGCCCCAGTGGCTGCGTTCGCATGGCGGCACCGCACCCATTTCGGCACACCCCTCACACGCTTCGTGGCCCCACAGGGAGCTCCACCGACGGCCCCAGTGGCTCGTTCGCATGGCGGCACCGCACCCATTTCGGCACACCCCTCACACGTTTCGTGGCCCCATAGGGAGCTCCACCGAGGGCCCCAGTGGCTGCGTTGGCATGGCGGCACCGCACCCAGTTCGGCACACCCCTCACACGTTTCGTGGCCCCATAGGGAGCTCCACCGAAGGCCCCACTGGCTGCGTTCGCATGGCGGCGCCGCACCCAATTTGGCACACCCTTCACACGTTGCGTGGCCCCATATGGGGGCTCCACCGAAGGCCCCAGTGGCTGCGTTGGCATGGCGGCGCCGAACCCATGTCGGCACACCCCTCACACGTTTCGTGGCCGCATAGGGAGCTCCACCGAAGGCCCCAGTGGCTGCGTTCGCATGGCGGCGCCGCACCCAATTAGGCACACCCCTCAAACGCTCCGTGGCCGCATAGGGAGCTCCACCGACGACCCCAGTGGCTGCGTTCGCATGGCGGCGCCGCACCCATTTCGGCACACCCCTCGCACGCTTCGTGGCCCCATAGGGAGCTCCACCGAAGGCCCCAGTGGTTGCGTTGGCATGGCGGCGCCGCACCCATTTCGGCACACCCCTCAGACGTTTCGTGGCCCCATAGTGAGCTCCACCGAAGGCCCCAGTGGCTGCGTTGGCATGGCGGCGCCGCACCCATTTCGGCACACCCCTCACACGCTTCGTGGCCCCATAGGGAGCTCCACCGAAGACCCCAGTGGCTGCGTTGGCATGGCGGCGCCGCACCCAATTTGGCACAGCCCTCACACGCTTCGTGGCCACATAAGGAGCTCCACCGAAGGCCCCAGTGGCTGCGTTCGCATGGCGGCGCCGCACCCATTTCGGCACACCCTTCACACGTTGCGTGGCCCCATAGGGAGCTCCACCGAAGGCCCCAGTGGCTGCGTTGGCATGGCGGCGCCGCGCACATTTCGGCACACCCCTCACACGTTTCGTGGCCACATAGGGAGCTCCACCGAAAGCCCCAGTGGCTGCGTTGGCATGGCGGCGCCGCACTCATTTCGGCACACCCCTCACACGGCTCGTGGCCCCATAGGGAGCTCCACCGAAGGCCCCAGTGGCTGCGTTGGCATGGCGGCGCCGACCCATTTCGGCACACCCCTCACACGTTTCGTGCCCCCATAGGGAGCTCCACCGAAGGCCCCAGTGGCTGCGTTCGCATGGCGGCGCCGCACCCATTTCGGCACACACCCTTCACACGTTGCGTGGCCCCATAGGGAGCTCCACCGAAGGCCCCAGTGGCTGCGTTCGCATGGCGGCGCCGCACCCATTTTGGCACACCCCTCACACGCTTCGTGGCCCCATAAGGAACTCCACCGAAGGCCCCAGTGGCTGCGTTGGCATGGCGGCGCCGCGCACATTTCGGCACACCCCTCACAGGTCTCGTTGTCCCATCGGGAGCTCCACCAAAGGCCCCAGTGGCTGCGTTGGCATGGCGGCGCCGCACCCATTTCGGCACACCCCTCACACGTCTCGTGGCCACATAGGGAGCTCCACCGAAAGCCCCAGTGGCTGCGTTGGCATGGCGGCGCCGCACCCATGCCGGCACACCCCTCACACGTTTCGTGGCCCCATAGGGAGCTCCAACGAAGGCTCCAGTGCTACCGCCCTCATGCGTCCCGCACGCCCAGGACAGCGTTTCGTGGCACGCCTTTCGTGGCCCCATAAGGAGCCCCACCGAAAGCGGCACCCACACAGCGTTATTCACAATAGCATATGGTTGGGTCCTTCGCCAGGATAATGTTTTAACCTTCCCCCCACCCAGCCATTCAAGGGCCCCCTCCTTCCGCGGCAGTGCCCCCCCCGTTTCGAACCCCCCTTTGCAACTCAAGGGGGGGGCCCCCGCATGTGGACCCACTCCCGGCGAACTGGTCCCAATCCCAACCCGCAGAAAAAAACAAACCGGCCCCAATCCCAACCAATGGAAAGTAGGCCTGTAGTAAGGATTGACATAGAGAGCGGTTCAAGACAACGGTGGGAACAACGTAGCACCTCTGTGTGCAAGCGCTTTCGTTCTGGAAGCCAACATACGTGACAGCTAGAATGGTGCCCGTTCGGTCTGCGCGCGAAGACTCTGAAGAACGGTTGCGGTATTAGCAGTCAACCAACCCTGTGTGCCACAGTGAGACAAACATTAAAGCAATATGCCTAGCAGTCGCAGTAGTAGGTGTAGTAACAATAGTAATAGTAGTCGTCGTAGTAGTACAGGTAGTACTACTAGTGGTAGTAGTAGTAGTAGTAGTAGTAGTAGTAGTAATAGTAGTAGTAGTAATAGA